GATGGAGACTTTACAATTTTTGTATTTATGATTTGGAGAACATTCTCCCAAGTAAAGTATCTCAAGAATGGAAAATCAAGCATCCCATGTACTCAATACTTAATTGAAACTAGTAGATTAACAACCATAGGCCCACATGAGAAAAAAACATAATTAAATTCAAGAAGAGGGAGTAGGGGTTTGCTAAGTTACCACCTAAGAGGTACAATGTATGGGTATATGGCATACCTCCTTGGCAAAGGACTCAACTACAGCTTGGACTTTACATAACAAATGCAAACAATGCAACCTAATGTATGTACCCTCATATTAATCTGAAATTAAAATATATATATATATATATATATCTTCAAGTGAGGGTCTTTTGATGAATTATAAAACAAAATAAAAACCTTCTCTTTGAAAATGTAAAAAAAAACCCCCAAACTTGTACCCCCAAATCTATTTAAATAAAAATTCAAAAAAGTTTTTAAATTATGAAGTTAGAATTTGCATAATAATTAATACATGAAAACATTCACCCTGCAAAAAAAATCATAACATTCCATATAAACTGAATACTCTTGACCATTACCTCCATTCCTGGTACCATCTCATAGGTTAACCAATGCTATACAGGCGTCCTCAAACTATGGCCCAGGGGCCACATGCAGCTCACCTAGGACATTTATCTGCCCGCAGAGTATTTTTGCTGCCGCTGCCTGTCCTGCTTAGTAGCCAACTCGTCCCAGGGCCCGTGGACAGTGAACTGGCCCCCTGTTTAAAAAGTTTGAGGACCCTTGCATAAACTATGTAACTTTCAGATACCTCTGTGTGGTTGTGTGTGCATGCACATATGTGTTTACATATGCTGTATAGTGATTGGTGATTTATTAAAAATTTGATTTGCTATATCTTTGATTTTTTTTTATTGTTTGGGATTGAGGGTACAAAAAATTACATTATGATTGCGTTTGTTAGGTAAAGACTCTCTTGTAATTGTGACCTGCCCTCAAGAGGTGTGCCATACACCGTTACCCCCCATCCTCCTTCCCTCTTCCCATCTCCCCAATCCCTCATTCCCCAACCTCCACCCCCACCTTGTCTTAGCTCATCTACTGCCTTCATATTAGTATTGTATATTGTATTCTTGCTTCTCCATTCTTGTGATGCTTTATTAAGAAGAATGTGTCCATCTCCATCCAAATTAATACAAAAGATGTAAAGTTTCCATCTTTTTTAATGGCTGAATAGTATTCCATGCTACACATACACCACAGCTTGTTAATCCATTCTTGGGTTGGTGGGAATTTAGGCTGCTTCCACATTTTTGTGATTGTAAATTGAGCTGTGATAAACAGTCTACTGCAAATGTCCTTATGATAAAAGAATTTTTGTCTTCTGGGTAGATGCCTAGTAATGGGATTGCAGGACCAAATGAAAGGTCTACTTTGAGTTCTTTGAGGAATCTCCATTCTTCCTTCCAAAGAGGTTGTATTAGTTTGCAGCCCCACCAGCAGTGTAAAAGTGTTCCCTTCTCTCCACATCTACGCCAGTATCTGCAGTTTTAAGACTTTGTGCTGTGGGCCATTCTCACTGGGGTTAGGTGATATCTCAGGGTAGTTTGAATTTATGTTTCTCTGATGATTAAGGATGATGACCATTTTTTCATGTTTGTTTGCCATTAATCTGTCTTCTTTAGAGAAGGTTCTATTCGTCTCTCTTGCCCACTGACATGGAATTGTTGGGTCTTTTTTGTTGATTAATTTGAGTTCTCTATAGATTCTAGTTATTAACCCTTTGTCAGATTCGTACCCTGCAAATATCTTTTACATACTGAAGGTTGTCTTTTTGCTTTACTTGTTGTGTCCTTAGCTGTGCAGAAGCTTTTCAGCTTAATTAAGTTCCATTTGTTAATTTTTGTTGTTACTGCAATGGCCACTGAAGTCTTTATCATGAAATCTTTACCCAGTCCAACATCATCAAGAGTTTTCCCAGCACTTTCTTATAGAATTTTTATGGTTTCATGTCTTAGATAAGTCTTTTATCCATCTTGAGTCAATTTTTGTAAGTGGTGAAAGGTAAGGGTTGAGTTTCAGTCTTTTAGATGTGGTTATCCAGTTTTCCCAGAACTGTTTGTTGAAAAGTGATACTTTTCTCATCACAAAAGTGATGCTTTTGTTTGGTTTATCAAAGATCAGATGGCAAATAGAGACTGGTCTCATCTCTTGGTTTTCTATTCTGTTCCTTATGTCTATGTCTCTATTTTCATGCCAATACCATGCAGTTTTGATTACTATGGACTTGTATCATAGCCTGAAGTCTGGTGGGGTGATGCCTCTAACTTTATTACTAAGAATAATCTTAGCTATATGGGTTTTTTTTCTGGTTCCATACAAAACGAACTACTATTTTTTCCAGTTCTTCAAAATATTATGTTTGTATTTTGATGGAGATTGCATTGAATCTGTAGATTGCTTTGGGTAGAATAGACATTTTGACAATGTTGGTTCTTCCTAAGCAAGAGCATGGTATGCTCTTTCCCTTGTTAGTGTCTTCTGCAATTTCTCTTCTTAAGGTTTCATAATTCTCTTTGAAAAGATCTTTCACCTTTTTTGTTAGGTATATTTCTAAGTACTTCATTTTCCTTAAAGCTACTGTGAAGGGAATTATGTCCTTGATTTGCTTCTTATATTGGCTGTTATTGGCATATACATAGGCTACTGATTTCTGGACAATGATTTTATACCCTGAGATGTTACCGTATTTTCTGATCACTTCCAGGAGTTTTGTCATTGAATCTCTGGAGTCTTTTAAGTATAAGATCCTATCATCAGCAAAGAGCAAGAGTTTGACCTCATCTGCTCCATTTGGATGCCTTTTATATTCTTCTCTTGCCTGACTGCATTGGCTAGGACTTCAAGCACAATGTTGAATAACAGTGGCAATAGTGGACATCCTTGTCATGTTGTAGTTCTAAGTGGAAAAGCTTTCAGTTTTACTCCATTCAGTATGATGTTGGCTGTGGGTTTGTCATAGATGGGTTTAATAAGCTTAAGAAATGTGCCATCTATGCCTATTTTCTGCAGTGGCTACCTCATGATCCCCTGGGGGTTGCTCTGTTCTGGTTTTTCATGTTGCCAGGACTTTTCTGCTGTTTTTTCCTCATGAGTATTTTCTTTATGTCAGTTTCCTTGCTCTACTTTTTCCTTCCACTTCTTCCTCCTCTTTAAGTTACTGTGACTCTGACCTAAGATATTGAAGTGTCCTTTTGGTATAGGACCAAAAGGAAGAGAAGAGTGAAGATCAAAAAGGGATAAATGATAAAACAAGAGAAAAGAAAAAGAAAAGGGGGGAGGAGTAAAAGAGAAGATTGACAAAAAGAAGAGAGGAACAGAAAGAGAGGGATAGGAGTAATAGTAGTGTACAGCAGGGCACTGACTCACACCCATACACCCACAAATCCCAACCTCTGGGGGGCTGGGTTGGGTGAATTCCTTGAGGTCTTGAGCTCCTTGTCAGCCTGAGAAAATACAAGACTCTATTTCTTCACTAAATAGAGAAGAAAAACAAAAATACTATAAATGAAACCAAAATAAACAAAATCCTTAAGGGATTAAACTAGGGGGAAAAATGAATAACAGGGGAAAAAACTAGTAAAAATGAAACCCTTATTATTATAGAAGGAAACAATGAAAAATTATAATTACAC